GTCCTTGAACAGTGACCAACACTGTACTCGTGCTGGGACTGATGACCTTTGCCCTCCAGCTGTGTTTACTTCTGTTCATCTCACACAGACTCTGGAGAGTCAACAGGAAAATCCTGATGGGCCTCGAACGTCCCGCCCCCGGGGAGAAAGGTGAGGGGGGAGAAGGGGGAGGGGGGGTTAGTTTTCCTGTCAGGTGATGAAGATCATAACGATAAACGTGTGAAGACGGTTCACGGAGTACGTCTTCTGTTGTCCCCCAGCTCTCCTCCCCCCCCAGGTCAGTGTCCATGTGGGGGAGGAGAGCCGTCTCCCCTGTGTTACATCTAGAGCCTGTGAAGAGGACGTCACCCACCCTCACCCTCACCCTCACCCCCACCCTCACCCCCACGGCCTCTCACCCTTTGGACCATTCACTCACTGGGATCTTGTTCAGTGAAGAGGACTTCTCATCACTAACTAACTAACTGACGGACTAACTAACTGACTGACTAACTGACTGACTAACTAACTAACTAACTAACTGACTGACTAACTGAGTGACTAACTAACTGACTGACTAACTAACTGAGTGACTGACTGACTGACTGACTGACTGACAGAACTAACTAACTGACTGAGTGACTGACTAACTGACAGAACTAACTAACTGACTGACTAACTAACTGACTGACTAACTAACTAACTGACTAACAGACTAACTAACTGAGTGACTAACTAACTGACTGACTGACTGACTAACTAACTAACTAACTAACTGACTGACTAACTGACTGACTAACTAACTAACTGACTAACTAACTGACTGAAAGAACTGACTGACTACTACTACTACTACTACTACTGACTGACTAACTGACTAACTAACTAACTGACTAACTAACTAACTAACTACTACTACTGACTAACTAACTAATGAACTGACTGACTAACTAACTAACTGACTAACTAACTAACTACTACTACTAACTGACTGACTGACTAACTAACTGACTAACTAACTAACTACTACTACTAACTGACTGACTGACTAACTACTAACTGACTAACTGACTGACTGAGTAGATTCTTTTTTTTAAACCATTTCTGTAAACCTTTGTTTGTAATAAAGTTTCTTCTTCAGTTTCTTCTCTTCATTTCCCTTATTTTTACGTTTGTGTTTGTTCTTTGTTCTTTGTTCTTGTCTTTTCTCTATACGTTTGTGTTTGTGTTTGTTCTTTGTTCTTGTCTTTTCTCTAACGTTCTCCAACTAAAAGAACTCCAGGGAGTCCCGTTGGAGTGGGATGAATGGATCTGACTGCTGCTCCTGAAACTAGTCCTGTAGTTAGCAGCTGGTTGATAACCAACCAGCTGGTATCTGGTGACCATGACTCACCCCACACGGCCATGAAGACGGCGAAGAACACAGTGGCTCCGTTATCAAAGAGATAGGTGACCTGAGGACACAGAGACGCCGTCACACAGCAGAAAACCCCCATCATGCCTCAGGGAGGTCAGTCCAGCGCCTCACCTTGGCGTAGACGCAGCTGTCCGACAGTCTCAGGTAGGGGCAGTACTGGTCACAGATGGGGCACATGATGATGTCAGTCGCCTGGCAGATCTCTTTACTGGACCAAAGAAAAACAGATCACCATCAGGACAGTACCTGGCTGCTCCACTAGGGGATAAGAGTCACTCTCTCTGCCAGTGGTCATGTGACTAAAAAACCCATTGAAGCTGAGAGTTAATGGGATTTGACCCGTCACTCTCTTATAACTAGCACTCAGATTAAAGTGACCAGTTCATCCACAGCCAGGGATCAAACCACTGACCTCCGTGCTGTAAGGCAGGAACATTAAGCAGGCGTTTACCTGACCTGGAACTGGTCTAAGGTGAAGACACCGTAGAGGAAGACCAGGAGGCCGACCAGCGCAGCAGGGACCAGCATCCCAGTGTACCAGCCCAGCCAGGCGAAGTACAGTCCGATCTTCTCCCCAAAGTACGTCCTGCCACAGGACCGGGACAGGAGAGCGGGCTTCAGCTAACAGACTGCTAACAGGAAGTGAGCGGACAAGAGTTTGTACCTGATCAGGTCCAGCGGCTGGTGTTTGTACCAAACCCCCCACCAGGCCCAGCACTCGTAGAGCAGGTGTCGATGGTTCTGAGCCTGCGTCCTGTTGGAGCTCTGACTGTAGTAGCTGCCCTGGAAACAACCAATGAACACAACAGTCAGACGGTGCAGACCAGCGTCCAGCCGGGCGTCGTCATAGTGACTGGCTGGATGAGAACTAGTAACGATATAAATTTGATGCTTTTTTTTTCTTTCAAACATAAACAGTTCCGGTCCAGTCTGTGTTCGTCAGAACTCCTAATTAGTTCATAGTTTAATAACTTAATGAACGAGCGTCCGACGTTAAAGACACGGGTCGACACGTGGCGATGTGAAGTACCTCGTGAAGAGGGAACGCGGCCTCGTAGCAGTTGTTGTTCAGGAGACGGTGAAGTCCTGAGAGAACAGAGCAGTACAGGTGTGAATACAAAAGACAGGGCGCCACCATGTGGACAGAAGAAGATCACACTGAAGGAGCAGGCTTGAATGATGAGCAGCCTCCAGTCACTAGGTGGCAGCAACTCATACAGTGGTTTGTAGAGATAAAAATATACACGTTATCAGGTTCTCCACAGTGTGGGGGGAGAACCGCGGCACTAAAGTTTTCCAGCTGTGCTTTGCTAACGTTAGCTCAGTGTTGAGTTCATACAGAACTTTTATTTGTCAGAAAGTTGAAGAGCAGTTTCTGAGGAACTGTTTCATGACGACTGGTTCGGAATGTACAGATTTGTGCTGAAGAAAGGACCAGAATCAGCAGAAATCGGTACCAACGACTGTTGGGTTGGAATTTGAACTCCGCCAGAATAAAGAGTGTTCTGATGCTAATTACTGACTAATGACCTGATGAATTATTAAAAACATGAGTCAACAATCCATTCACAGTGAATATTTCCATACAGTACTCTGTGAGTACTCAGAGAGTACTCTGTGAGTACTCAGAGAGTGAGAGGAACCGTACCCATCTTGTTCTTGCCGTCCTCGTAGCGGACTCTCTGCAGGATGTGGTGGACGATGCGACTCTTTGTGGCGTTGTTGAAAAAAGTCTCTCTGTTGGTGATGATGAAACTAGAGCGAGACAAAGGTGTGGTTACAAATGTGTCAAAGCCACGTGTCGGGGTCAGAGGTCACTGTGAAGGTCACACCCACTGGTGGATCCTGGAGCGGCTGAACGGAGCGGTGAAGTTCTGGTTTCCCTCCAGGTCTGGAACAGAGCTGTTGTCAAACTTCACGGGCCTGCTGGGAAACCAGCCTCGGAGTTTGGTGACGTGCTTCTCCACTCTGTGACAAACGGTTCCGTCAAAGCAGCTGAAGTCAAATCATGAGGTCGGTTCCTCTCAGACAGAAGACTCACCTCCTCAGGAACGGCTGACGCTGGGGTTTGAAGAAGACTTTCCTCCTGGAACAAGAAGTGACACAGAAAACCACTGCATTTAACCGTCACCAAACTTCCAGCGGGGGGGGGGGGGTTTCTGGTCCCAGTCTGAGACTTGGATCAATTTCAAAACCAAAATCCACATTTTTGAAAACAAAACCTTCTTAAGTTTCATTATTTTATAAAGTCTTTTAGTTTAGGTTTTTTATATTCCGTGAGATCGGATTAAAACAGATTTGTGAACAACAGTATGGTTTCATACCACAGATGGAGAAGAACAGAGAAGATCAGAAGGTGCAGTCAGGAGTGGCAGAGAAGTATGTTAGTTTGGTGCGGGACATGTATGAGAAAAATGTTTCAAAAACTGACCAAATTTGAATGACCAAAGAATGGACAGAATCAGGAATGAGGTCATTAGAGGAACAACACAGACAGGAAGCAACTCCTGGAAAAAAAAAAGGGACAAAGCCGAAAGAAAAAGAAGAAGAGGATTAAAAGAAAATCTGCGATTTACTGAGGAGAACCACGACACAGAGGGAACACTGTATAAGGTAACACACAGACAGACTACACCTCATACAGTACAGTCAGAATTACAGAGCTCGGTCTGGTTAAAGTGTAATTCCATCCGTGTCCACACGTCTCACCTGAAGGGCATGCGGATGTTCATCATCTCCGCGTAGCGACACAGAACCTCCCACGGCGCGTGGATCTTTAGAAAGATGACGTCACTGTTGATTAGAGACGCCTACGGAGGAAACAGACTTTCACTGACACCTGTCAGTCACAGCCAGTAGGTGGCAGTAGTGAGGGTCAGATCTGCAGTAAATCAACAGTGTTCTGAGTTGTTTTTACCTCCTTCTCCGTCTGTAAACCCTCCGCTCGGATGTTCCGCTCAAACACCTCCCTCCTCTCCGTCTGGGAGCTGGACTTCCTGTACACCAGGATGTAGTCGATGGGACTCTGACGATCGCTGAAGCAAAGTCCGCTGGATTTACTGCCCCCCTGGGGACGGAGGGAGCGTTACGATCTGGAAGTCCATGAGCTTCGTTAATAAAAATGTGACCGTGAGTGTGGACGGACGATGACCTCACAGACCGTCTCCACTGACCTCCGACCGACCACTGTCGGACTTCACATTGACGTCCGCGATGCTGTTGTGTGTGTCGGTGTTGAACGGCGTGGAGTCGTCCTGACCTCCCGACGATGAAGCGATGACCTCTGACCTTTCTCTGTCCAGCAGCACGTTGACGTCCCTCAGAGCTGCGGGCAGAACCAGCAGATAAAGTTCAGAGCCCCAGTTCACTGTGGGTCAGTGGGTCTGTGGGTCAGTGGGTCGTGGCCCGGCCCAGCACCTCAACTGCAGCCTGTGCTGTTGCTGAATCTCACCAAGAGGGGGCACATCATCCTGAGTGCTGGACTCTGGGCCTTCAGCAGAGGAGTCCTCCACTACAGCTGCCTGCCCACAGGAGGGGGGGGCGAGGGCTCCGTCCGCTGCCTGGGGGTCGGAGGTCGTGGGCTGCAGCTGGACCCTGCGTCGGTGGAGGAGCGGCCGCGAGGGCCCCGACCCACGAGGTGAGAAATTTACACCTGCACAGAGAACAACATCAGAG